TGTACATATTTTGCAAGATCAATTCTAACTGAACTAATGGACAAACTGATGAATAAATGGTGATATTGCCATGATTGACAACCATATGGTCCGATGGTTTTGCTTATAATATAGGCCATGCAGTCTGGAGCTGCTATTATTTCATTCTGAAAATTCGTTTAAACATTTAACATTTTATATTTTCTAACAAAGTTTGTTTCTTTTTAAATGTACATCTGCGTTCCTATGCACACCTTAACAAATGCAGTTTAATATTAGTTATCAATAATTTTTTATAGTTTCTTGTTTTTTTTTAATTGAATTTTAAGAATATATATATATTTTATATTCAGGCTTATATTATATCGCTAAATCAAAAGAAGCATCGGTTAAAAACTTAAGAGATACGGTAATTATTCTAATAAAAGATTAATATGATACGTTACCAGTACCGTAAATTTATCAAGTAAACTCTGCGGCGTTTATAATGTTAAAGAAGCTTCCCAGTGGCACGGCGCTAATTCGTTAAAGGCGTTTATGAGCGGCGCTTTAGCCTACAATACAGATTATTAAAGTTTCGTTTCCCATGTTACCGTAAAGACAGAAAAAAGTTGTTTGACGAAAAACTGGGGAACGGTGAACGAGAAAGAGATTTTTGAATATTTAAAAACTTTGGGGAAAAGGGGCTAGCCGCCCATTTTTACACCTATTTGCCCCATTTTTTTAATATTCAAAAATCTGTATCTCTGTCTCTTATACACATCTAGATGTGTATAAGATGTATATATATGTGTGTATGTGTATATGTATATATGTATATATATATATGTATGTGTATGTATATATATATATATATATATATGTATATATATTCGGTATATAATTACATTGATGTAATTTGTTGAAATATTTTTATTCGAGACCAATACCAGTATACTTACATTTAGTCAGCGGCGTAGCTACGGGCATTGCAGTCAGTGCAAAACACTAAATTAGGGGCCCATTCATAAATAGAGAATATAATACTGTATATGACCACCTAACAACGAGAAAAAATAGCAGCAGACATATACAAATACTGTATTAACATATAGGTAGGTTATGCATCAATGTATATAAAATGTTCGTCGTTTTGTTACAAATTGGAAATATTTTAAATAGGAAAGCATCTGTGCATATTAAGAGTGACAGGCTCTAACCACATTTTAATGTTATAATTATGTATGGTTTAACATGGTTGAACAAGTTTAAATTACCCTTTTATACTACTAACAATAGAAAATCATTCCTGCAGCAACTATTAACAACATCACGATTACATAAATTTTCAGTACAGAATGTAAATTTGATATGAATAGAATTTTCAAACAAAATTTGAAAGACATTGGTGGATCCAGGAATTTGAAATAGAGGGGGGGGGGGCCAGGGAGAGACATTCACAGATGGAGAGTCAATACCAAGAAAGAAAAGAAAATTTAGGATTACGGTACCTCTAGTTGGCCGGAAATGGCACTCACAGGCTTAAAACTTTAAACATTTTATGGGCCCCTTTAAACTCGCTACTGGACCTAATATGATATACAGTCGATGCCAGAGGAGACGCACATTATGCTGTTATGTATCAACAAAGCCATATTGGTTCAGGGTACTAGATCGAAGGTCATGTGGTTAGGGCTTGGGGGACCTAGGGGTCGGGGGCACTGCGGACTGCCGTACGAGAGCGCATAGGCGTTACGCCACTGCCTCTATCGAATTGTAAATATAGTGCTACGTAGAATGAATGAATTAATTTCAAATATTTGCACTTTTGCACAAAATTAATTTTTTTTTATTTGGTATCCCTTTGTTCCGATTGTAGAAAAAATGTAAAAGCTTTTTAAAATTTTAAATGTTTTTTCCTCTTATTTCAGTTAAAAACATATTTGCTCTTTTTGTTCTCTTTTTTATAATACCATTATATAACTCATCTTCTAATCTACACTGTAATGAATCTGAAGCTAACGCCCGCAAACAAATGGAATTATATATTGCTGATATCAAAGCCTGGATGACCTATAATAAACTAAAGCTCAATGACAATAAAACAGTGTTTATGGTCATATCTTCAAAATATCATCAGTCCACATCACAAACACTTATTCCTGCTTCTCCTAGTGCTCGTAACCTTGGAATTATATTCGACAATACGTTGTCTATGGACGTTCACGTCAAAAACATCTGCAAATCAACATATTTCCATATCAGTAATATCATAGAGAAAATATTCTGTTCTATTTTTCTCTAAGCTGGGACTTCCCGGATTGCAGGTTGAGATCCATGGCTAAATGGAAAAAAGGATTAGCCTTTATCTGGTGATTAATCTCTTCCTTCGGTTTTCACACCTACACATAAGCAATCCTTGACTGATGCACATTTATTTTATAATGTTATGCCATAAATTATTATATAGTGGGCTACGAATAATGTTTTATTTCATGATTTTGAACATTTTCACGCTTTTCCCGTTAAAATTGGCCAAGTACTTACGAAGATATGATATTAATCATTGTTTTTGGTAAGGTTTTGGTAAGCTATTCGATATAATACCCTACACCTCTCTGCTGATAACCATTCAAGCAAGGCCTGACTTATCAGCTAGACAGAGAAACGTGGTACGAAATGAATAGAAACGCGTTCATGAAGTGGTACGGTGTTTTGAGGCGATAGGTTTAAGCCTAGGTATTTTTACACAGTTTTGAAGAAGATGGAATTGTTTAATTAAAGTCCGGCTCCGGAGGAAAAAAATGTTTTGATACCGTATGTTGTAGAACTGATTTTTCTGAGACAGAAAAAAGTTGTTTGACGAAAAACTGAGCAACGGTGAATGAGATACAGATTTTTGAATATTTAAAAACTGGTGGAAAGGGTGTAAAAAAGGGCGGTTATGCCCCCTTTCCCCCCAGTTTTTAAATATTCAAAAATCTGTATCTTGTTCACCATTCCCCAGTTTTTCTTCAAACAACTTTTTTCTGTCTTAGAAAAATCAGTTCTACAACATATCAAAAAAATTTTTTCCTCCGGAGCCTGACTTTAAGGAAAGTGTTCGTTCTGATTGACACTTTTAACACCAGAATAGCAATGGGTCAAAACAGCAATGAACCAAAAAATAATAATAATAATAATAATATTATCATTAATAATAATAATAATAATAGTAATAATAATATTGGGCGAAACACAATATAAAAGAAGTAGACATTTAAATAATTTAAAATTTAAAATAGTGACTAAATGATTATATAATGACATTAATTAAAAATAATAATAATGAAACAGTACAGTAGTAGTAATAATAATAAGAAGAAATAGGCCTTATAACAATATCACAACATACAAATTAAATAATAAAAATAAACAAAATAATATCAGTGAACGTTTAAATAAATAAAACTTTAAAACACAGACACAAAAAAAAATATATCCGATATGTCATAAAAGTTTATTTCCGTTTTGAACTGAGACCCTCCTTAAAGTACTGATCGACTTTGAGGGCAGCAGAGTGATGATCATTTGGTACATTGATGAAGAATGTCGATGAATTGAAAAGAAATTTCCATGGTGTGTTTTGAAAAGAATTTGGGAACATTTCAACTATTTGAAATGCTAGAGCGTTTAGAGGTATTCTAACCAATGATGAGACTTTCAGCAGGTTTATGCTT